ATATTTACAAAGCCCCCCCCCCCCTCCCAAAGCAATAATTATATTTTCCACTCATGAGTCCCCAGAGTCGAGAACTTGAAATTGGTAGATTTTTAACCCCGTTGGAGGTGGGACCCACAGCGGAGACACCATGCGCCAACCTCGACGCGTGTAAGAGCCAACGACAACCTCGGTGGGACCCCACGCGCGGGGTAAATATATATTTTTATATATATATATATTATATTGTGGTCCCCACTTACACGTTGCGGGGCCCGCCGATTTTACGCAAAAGTCCAACGCGAGTTCAAAAAAGTCGTACGGAGAGCCTTGCGTGAATGAGTCACGTGAGCATGTCCTGGGCCTACTTTTTTAGAAGCCCAATTAGGTCGCTTCTTAATTTTCTTTTTATTTAATATATTAAATTATATAAAATTTTAAAAATTAAATATCACTATATATATATATATATACACACCAACAATGCACAATATATATACATATATATATTAACTGTTACTTTCACTTTTTTCACTTTTTACTTACAATAATATGGTTAAAAACTTAAATTAACCAAACTTTGTAAGGGGTCATTAATGACGCAATTTAATGCAAGTAGTAAAAAATGTAATGATTTTTTAACACTATGCAGTTTATTTTACATCAATTTAAAAAAAATAGTTTTTTTTTCTTTCTGTTGGTTAATAGTTATCTTATTCATTGAGTTAAATAGATGTAAAAATTAAGAAGAGTATTTAATTTTATGTGCAAAATTGTAAAATTATTGAGCCTAATAATTCATATAACACTAAGGTTCGTTAAATAGATACAGATAGGAGTAATCTCCCGGTGTATGGCACATAACAAACATATAAATGATTAAGTATAATGGTGTTTGTGGTCCTTAAGTTTGCGAGATGGTTGTTAATAGATGACTTGAAAAACTAGATCAATCCAATCTATATACCGTTTGGGTTGGGTTTAAATATTGAAAATTTTATGAATTGGGTCTGTCCTCAACAACAATATCATCTATATGGTTCGGTATAACTCGTCTTTGTGATTTGTTATTATCTAGAGTTAAAAGAGGAACGTGGAGAGTTTTGTAACGGTCCAAACCCACTCCTAACAGATATTGTCTCTTTGAGTTTTCTCTTTCGAGTTTCACTCGAGATTTTTAAAATGTGTCGGCTAGGGAGAGGTTTACGCACCGTTGTAAAGAATGTTTTATTCTCCTGTTTAACTGATATGGGATTTCATAATCCACTCTCGTTCGAGACTTAACGTCTTTGATGATACTTGTTTCTCTCTAATCGATAAAGACATGAAATAGGACGCGATGATAAGTAGAAATTATTTGGGCACCACTTTTTGATGGCAAGTTTGAAGATTTTCCCATAAGCAAAACGACACTAAATTTCATACCCCAATGTTCTTTTTTCTTTCTTTAGCTCTCCAAAATAATGCCTATCATAACCATTTTCTTCTACTCATTTGGATCCTTCCTCTTCGACCCCATCACCAACGCCCGCTTATGGCATACGTCGACATCTCGACTTTTTTCGAGAGGAGTTTCATGTTTAATATGGTTTTATGAGTTGACTCAACCACAAAAACTTATCATACACGCAATACGTCGATCCATCTATCAATCAATCATCTAAGTATTTTCTAAAAACATCATACTCAAACATTATAAGATTCCACATCGGTTGGAGAGAAAAACAAAACATCCCTTATAAGGGTATGGAAACCTCTCGTAACAGATGCATTTTAAAACTGATAGGAAAAACAGAGAGAAAAACTCAAAAAAAGACAACAGTGGACTTGGGCTGTTACAAACATCCTTATAAGCGTATAGAAACCTCTCTTAACATTGCATTTTAAAACTTCGAGGAGAAACCCAGAAAGAAAAACCCAAAAAAAGACAACAGTGGACTTGGGCTGTTACAAACATCCCGCGTGTGGAAATCTCTCCTGTCATATGCATTTTAAAACTTCGAGGAGAAACCTAGAAAGAAAAACCCAAAAAAAGACAACAGTGAACTTGGGCGGTTACAAACATCCAGCGTGTGGAAATCTCTCCTATCAGATGCATTTTAAAACTTCGAAGAAAAACCCAGAAAGAAAAACTCAAAAAAAGACAACAGTGGATTTTGGCTATTACAAACGTATTCTTATCGGTCAATTCTCGAGGCAACTAATTCAGTACAAAATTACGAACAAAAGTCGAGGGGCCTCGAGAGAGGGTATTGAGTGAGTGACATTAGTCTATTGTGGACCATTTTATGCATCATTGTCTTGGCCACTATCTACCAAAAGAAGCCTAGCTTCTACTTAATTCAATCAAAGGAGCCTACCAAAATGTGGTCCTATTAATATACCTCCCACCATCTAAATTCTCTACCTAAATTCAATTAATATATATTTTTCTCAATTTATAATTCTTTTTCTTTTCAAAATTATATATATTTATAATTTTTACTAATTTTTATTATTATTATTATGTTCGAAAACAAAAATAATAATAATAAATATAATATATTAACCGACCGATAATTCAAATTTCTAACATTTTAATTGAGCGCGTAGGTTAATTTTATTAAATATAATATGAAAATTTTATTAAATATAATATGAAAAACAAATATTTAAGTAATTATAAATACAAAATTATGAAAGATGATGGCGGTGAGATTTAGGTATATGATATGGAAATATACACGGCAGCAATTGGTCAGTCATCCCAAAATCAAACTCGGCGCGGTAATGTTATCAAGATGGTGTGTGTTCGAAGCTTCGGAACAGCCGTCAGAATATTCCGACCATAGTGTTGGGATGATCAGTGGTGTGAGTGACCTTAAAGCACAGAGGTTAAAATATTATTAATTAATATTAGCCGACCGACAAGATAATTAACTGTCAAATCAAGTCCTTTTCACTTAATCTAATTAAATATTAATAATAATAATACATGATTATTAAAGTTAATGCATACTTGTCATTCTTATAATACTGTTCATATTCATAACCCAATTAACATAAGGGTCTTGTCTTGTCACATCTTTTTAATTAACATAATTAATAATTAATGTATGCTTTTTGAACTACTGAAATTATTATAAATAATTAGTTGAAAGTTGAGATAACCCTACTTTAATTCCGGTTTAAAGTGTTCGGAAAGTTAACATTTTTTTTTACGGTAGCTATGTGTAAACTCTTACGTACACAAAGATCGAGGGTGATGACACGTAGTTGATGCAACACATCACATTCAATCAATCCTTGGCGGTCTCGTGGGTTCAGCAATAGTTTGAAAGGTTGATATGTTCGGGAATCTCTGGATCTACGCTTAATTTCAACTCCCAGAAGTATTCGTCGCTTACTACGTCTTTCCCAAGTGGGGTTTTTATAATTAGCTCATCCTCGCAAGATCATGACCTTTTGTCCTAGCCAACGGGAACCCATTAGAGTTGTAGTGAAAACGAGCCTTCAAGGGACAATTGTCACTATTTATGGACCCGATTCAATATGTTTAAGAATTTCAGTTGAATAGATGCATAGATTTTGTTACGTTTCTCATTCATTCGACTCTTTCCCGAGCCTATTTGAGCGGAAATGAATATTAGGGTAGGAAGGTAGTTGGGGTATGAGAAAAGGGTATTAGTAAGAGAGAGTGGGTGTCCTACATGAGAAGGGCCAGCAGCTGTTTGGCGTGTGTCCAACCACACAATGAAATTAAAAGGGAAATGAATGAAAGAGATATGATAAAGTTGGTAAAGCGTAGAGGACCTCTTTCTTTTTTATCTCCATGATTAGGCCTTAGTGGACATTGACATTTCCTCGTTTCTCTCTTACTCTTCTTCCTCTGTCTCTCTCTCTTAATGTCCTCTCGTTCTCCTCTCTAATCGATGTCGGACCTCCAACTCACTCGTCTTTAAGGCCTAGCGTCCTTGCATGCACACCGCTCATGTCCACTTCTCGCCAGCACATTGCCTGATGTCTGGTTCTGATACTACATATTGTTCTTTTTTGGTTTTTCCTTTCGAGTTTTGCATCAAGATTTTTAAAACACGGGGCCCAGTGTCCAATGTCCAGTGTTCTTACTTGCACACTGCTCATTTTCTTGTCACATCGCCCCGTGTCTAACTATGATACCATTTGTAATAAGCTAAGCCCACCACAATCCACCTCCCTCCAGGGCCCAGTGTCCTTACTTGCACACTGCTCATTTCCCTGGCACATCGCCCAGTGTCTAACTCTGATACCATTTGTAAATAGCCCAAGCCCACCACAATCCACCTCCCTTCAGCCCCAGTGTCCTTACTTGCACACTGCACATTTCTTTGGCACATTGCCCAAGTCTAACTCTAATACCATTTATAATAGCCCAAACCTACCACAATCCACCTCCCTTCAGGCCAGTGTTCTTACTTGCACACTACTAATGTCGCTGACACATCGTCCAAACTCTGATACCATTTGTAACAGTTCAAGCCCACCACTAGAACATATTTTTTCTAGACTTTCACTCAAGTTCTTAAAACACGACTGCTCGGGAGAGATTTTCACACCTCTCTAAGTAATATTTCGTTATCCTTTCCAACCGACGTGAGATCTCACAAAATAAAATAAAGATAAACCCGTCACTCGTTTGGGCTGTGGAGTATCACAACAGAAAGTACTCCATGTATCTGATACAGTCTCTTCTGATATGGCTTTAAAAAACTAACATACAAAAATTGGAGAGAAAAGAAGATTGAGTTTCTGACAAGAGCGTTAATGGGTAGCTTTCTTTATCCCTTCTCTCTCTATATCCTTTCTCTTTCTATATATATATATATATATATAATCAAATTACTTTACACGACATGTTCTTCTTCTCTCTCTCTCTCTCTTGTTCTTCATCTCAAAAACTTGCTTTTTAAACAATAATAGATCCGTTTCTTCTTCTTACACTCACATCTGCTTTATCCAATTCATGGGTTTTAATTAAGATGCTTTTGAGTTCATGATTTTGGTCTCAACTCATCCATGGAACCCAATTTGATTGTTCTTTAGTGTTCTTCTGTTTTTTTTTTGGGGGGCTTTTGTACGGAGGACTGACAAATTCTCTGTAATCGCCGCCGCCGCCGCGCCGCCGTTGTTTTTGATTACGATGGCGACGTACTTTCACGGTGGTTCAGAAATCCAAGCGAGTTCTGACGGAATCCACACTCTTTACCTTATGAATCCCAATTATGTACCTTACTCTGACACCCATTCTCAAACGCCACCCAATATGTTATTTCTCAATCCATCCACCCACGCGCTTACTCCATCCACTCTCCCTCACGCGCCGCCTTCCACTAACCACTTCGTTGGAATTCCCCTGCCCGCAACCGACACTTCTCGTCCATCCTACCACGAGATCTCAGCCCTTCATTCTGTTCCAGCTCAGCGTCTTCACTACAATCTATGGGCTCCTATGGACCAAATCTCCTCCGTGTCGGCCGCCACCGACTCCACCGATTTGAGCTTCCGCCGCCCCCGTACACACCAGGGTTTGTCCTTGAGTCTCTCCTCCCAACAGTCGCTTTACCGGACGATGTCCGCGGATCAGGAGATTCAAGGAGGCAGAGGCGGTGGTGCTCCGGATATCTCGCCGACAAGTGGGGATGAAATTAGGGTGTCCGGTAATTCACCGGCGTCGGCGTCGGTGTCGGTGGTGTCGAGTGGGGTAACGGGGTCTAAGTACTTGAAAGCGGCGCAGGAACTTTTGGATGAAGTGGTAAACGTTGGCAATGGAAATAAAACCGACAAAGGGGATAAGATGAAGATGAAGAAAGAATCAACGGCTGCGATTGCTGAACCTTCCGGCGGCGGCGCTGAAAGTACTTCCAAGCCTGTCACTGAGCTCAGTACTGCTCAAAGACAGGATCTTCAGATGAAGAAAGCTAAACTTATTGGCATGCTCGATGAGGTATAAACAAATTCCTAATTTCAATTTTTTTTTTCATGATCTTTTTAACTTAATCTCTTTGTGTTCATGAATCGTTATATTATGTTCGTTCTCATCTCTAATGGTGAGATTCCACCTCAATTAGAGAAGAAAACGAAAAATTTCTTATAATTGTGTAGAAATTTCTCTCGATACATTTTAAAAATTTTGAAAAAAAACCCAAAAAGAAAAATTCAAATGGGGCAGTATCTATTAGATGTGTGCTTTCTACACAGTAGATAGGTTTCAAAACTGCCTCGAGGAGAACAATATCAATATCTGCTAGCGGTGTGCTTTTTCAGCACGTTTTAAATGTTGAGAGAAAACCCAAAAGAAAAAACTCAAAGAGGACAATATCGACTAGGGGTGTGCTTTCTCAGCAGAGAAAACCCAAAAGGGAAAACTGAAAAAGAACAATATTTGCTAGCGGTGTGGTTTCTCAACGATGAGTCTTTAGGAAAAACCCAAAATGGAAAATTCAATGATTACAATATCTGTCAGAGCTATGCCTTTGCAACCGCTAATGAGTTTTAAAACATAGAAATCCTAAAAGAGGACAATATCAGCAAGCTCTGTGCTTGAACTGTTAGATCAATTCTTATGATAGCGAAGATTCGAACTTCATAGGATTCGATATGCCACAAAATTAAAGTAACAATAAAGAAAGTCTCTTTCAACTTGGTTGATGATTAAAATTAAGAGCAAAAAAGCAAGCTAGTGGCAACAAAATATCTTGTTTTTGGGCCCTTTTTCCAAACAGTAAAAATCCTTTGAAACTTGTTCATATTTCATCCACTGAGTTGAATGACCATAATGTTCTTTGTGAAGGTGGAGCAAAAGTACAGACAATACCACCAGCAAATGCAAGCAGTGGCTTGTTCGTTCGAGCAGGCGGCCGGGTTGGGCTCGGCCAAGTGCTACGCCTCGCTCGCCTTACAAACCATTTCAAAGCAATTTCGGTGCCTAAAAGATGCAATATGTGCACAAGTTAAAGCCAGTGGCAAGAGCTTGGGGGAAGAGGATTGGTCCGGTGGAAAGATTGAAGGGTCCAGATTGAGATACGTGGACCATCATGTACGGCAGCAAAGAGCTTTGCAACAATTGGGAATGATTCAACATAACACTTGGAGACCTCAGAGAGGTTTGCCTGAACGGGCTGTGTCTGTTCTTCGTGCTTGGCTGTTTGAGCATTTCCTTCACCCGTAAGTTCGTGGATTTACTTTTTGATTTTGGATTGAGGTGTGTTTTTGTTTTGAAAAGTTGAAATCTTTGGTTGTGGGTTTTTTAGATATCCAAAGGATTCGGATAAAGTTATTCTCGCGAAACAAACGGGACTCACGAGGAGCCAAGTACGTATGTCTTTTATGTGTTTTCATTGTTTAGTTTGTGTTCATTGATTGTATACTCTTCGATTAAAGTTAGTGTGAGATTATATAATGGTTGGGGAGAATAACTAAACATTCTATAACGGGTGGAAATTTTGAGGGGAAGTCTGAAAGGTAAAGCCCAAAAAAGACAATATCTGCTATTGGGCCGTTACAAATGGTATCAGAGCTAGAGACTGGGCGATGTGTCTGCGAGAAGGCTAAGCTTGAAGGGGTGGAGTGGATTGGGGGGTCCCACATTGGTGCCAACGTTGGGAACAAATGCCACCAAAAACGTTGGGTCTCGAATGGGGTGGATTGTGAGATTCCACGTCGATTGGAGAGGAAAACTAGGCATTTTTTATAAGGGTGTAGAAACCTATCCTTGATAGACATTGTTTATAAGAATGTTGAAACCTCTCCCCACAAGACTACCTGTGTGTGGAAACTTCTCCCTAGCCTCTCCCTAGACATTTGGGTGTGCATATCTCTCTCTAGCATATGTCCCTACCAGTTCCTACAAGATCACCAGTGTGTGGAAACCTCTCTCTAACAAATGTCCCTAGCAATCCCTACAAGACCACGTGTGTGTGGAAACCTCTCCCTAACAGATGTCCCTAGCAATCCCTACAAGACCATGTGTGTAGAAACCTCTCTCTAACTTCTCCCCAAACATTTGGGTGCAGATATCTCTCCCTAGCAGATGTCCCTAGTAGTCCCCACAAGACAACCTATGTGTGTAAACCTCTCCCTAGACATCTAGTTGTGGATATCTTTCCCTAGCATATGTCTTTAGCAGTCCTACAAGATCACTTGTGTGTGGCAACCTCTCCCTAACTTCTCTCTAGACATTTGAGCGTGGATATCTCTCCCTAACAGATGTCCCTATTGAAAACTTTAAAGGAAAGCTCGGGATACAAGGGACAATAAGTGAATTTTGGGCCGTCTATATACTCAAATTATTGTCTTGAATGTACAAAAGAAAGTGAAGTTAAAAGGTTTTGATATGATTGGCAGGTTTCAAATTGGTTTATAAACGCAAGAGTTCGTCTATGGAAGCCAATGGTTGAAGAAATGTACTCGGAAGAAATCAAAGAGCAAGAACAAAACAGTGACTCCCACGACATGAACAGACACAACAAAAACGAACCCAACAAGCAAAACCACCAGATCATGAACGATTCTCTCACCGATCAAGTTCCCAATTCCTTACAAACCCATTCAGGCTTCAACCTCGTCCGACCATCCTCCGACATGCTCTCATGTCCCAAAAGACAAAGAACAACAAACAACCTCGAAACCCCGTCGACAAAACCTACGCTTTCAAGAGACATAAACGACACAAAACATGTTCATGGAGGCGGGTTTGGTTCGTACCCGATTGATGAAATTGGAACAAGGTTCAATTCTGAGCTGTTGACGCCAAGATTTCATGCCAATGGCGTCTCGCTCACTCTTGGCCTTCCACAAACTTACCTCTCCGACCCAAACCTTCAGCTGGGGACAAGGGTTGATATCACCAATGGAGGATCTGACTTCTCCGACATCGATCCTGCCCCGGCCACCGCCTACGACGGCGTCGAAATTCAGACCACCAAAAGATTTGCTGCCCAATTATTGCCTGATTTTGTCGCCTAAGCAGATTTAAGCGAACAAATATATATATATATATATATATATATATATATATATATGCATGCATGCATTATTTATACTTAATTGCTTACGTCATATTTATATGGAACTTAATTTTGTATTATGTATAAATCTTCACAAGATCAATAGCCATTTTGTTAATTAATTATACGTCTTGATCTTGTTTATAAATAAATAAATAAACAAACATGCATATGAACGGAACCATGCACGTCAAAGCTAAAAGCGAACTCATATAATCATCATGACATCATAAGGGTTATCACTTTAGGTCTGGCGTCTTCACTAACACACTGACTCGTGTCTAGTTCTGATACCATTTGTAATGGCTCAATCCCACCGCTAGCAGATGTTGTCTTTTTTGGACTTTCCTTCTAAGTTTTTAGAACTCAGAGATTTTTACGCCCTTTTAAAAAAATTATTTCGTTCTCCTCTCTAACCGATGTGGGATCTCACATTTTGTCACATATAAAACTAACCGTGTTCGTGTTTAGCTTTATCGTGTATTATTGGTGGGGAATAGGGAATGGGGACGGATTAGGGGGGGTGTTATGTTAATAATTAATGAATTAAAGGGATAATAATGTAATTATAGAGTGATAATACGTTGGAACCAATTTAATAATGAAGGGAAAATGAAATAATCAGCCAACACAAAGAAAAAGACAGCAGAAAAATAGAAATTAGTACATATAATGACGTGGCAGGCGGCTATTGGATGAAAGACATTGAATGTTGTGGTCTTGTCTTTTCCTTTAGCATATTACTAAAATACATCCTCACGTGGTGGGCCATCCCCCCTTTATTTTCTGTCTTCCTAAGATATTAACTTAACCTAATTTAATTCAATTAATTAATTACTTCATATTATTTTATTATTCATTATTACTATTCCAAACTCTAACGTAAGACCAAAGGCTTGTTGAGCTGCTCCTTCGCGGATCAAATATTGGGCCGCGACCTTGGGCTTAACTGAGGCCCAATTTTGATGTGATGGGCTTGAGGCTGATTATGCATGTCTAGAATGTGTTGTCCATGTCAGCATACATGTTCCAAACCACTTGCATCCATGTTAGATCATGTTAGATTGGTCTTTACTATTTTTGTTGGGTCAGTAGAATGATGTATGATCAGTCACCAAAATCATGTCTTATATTTGTCATACCTAAAATACCCGAGAGTGTAGGACACTCGAATTCGATGACGTCTAGAATGTGTTGTCCATGTCAGCATACATGTTCCAAACCACTTGCATCCATGTTAGATCATGTTAGATTGGTCTTTACTATTTTTGTTGGGTCAGTAGAATGATGTATGATCAGTCACCAAAATCATGTCTTATATTTGTCAGACCTAAAATACCCGAAAGTGTAGGACACTCGAATTCGATGACGTCTAGAATGTGTTGTCCATGTCAGCATACATGTTCCAAACCACTTGCATCCATGTTAGATCATGTTAGATTGGTCTTTACTATTTTTGTTGGGTCAGTAGAATGATGTATGATCAGTCACCAAAATCATGTCTTATATTTGTCAGACCTAAAATACCCGAAAGTGTAGGACACTCGAATTCGATGACGTCTAGAATGTGTTGTCCATGTCAGCATACATGTTCCAAACCACTTGCATCCATGTTAGATCATGTTAGATTGGTCTTTACTATTTTTGTTGGGTCAGTAGAATGATGTATGATCAGTCACCAAAATCATGTCTTATATTTGTCATACCTAAAATACCCGAGAGTGTAGGACACTCGAATTCGATGACGTCTAGAATGTGTTGTCCATGTCAGCATACATGTTCCAAACCACTTGCATCCATGTTAGATCATGTTAGATTGGTCTTTACTATTTTTGTTGGGTCAGTAGAATGATGTATGATCAGTCACCAAAATCATGTCTTATATTTGTCATACCTAAAATACCCGAGAGTGTAGGACACTCGAATTCGATGACGTCTAGAATGTGTTGTCCATGTCAGCATACATGTTCCAAACCACTTGCATCCATGTTAGATCATGTTAGATTGGTCTTTACTATTTTTGTTGGGTCAGTAGAATGATGTATGATCAGTCACCAAAATCATGTCTTATATTTGTCAGACCTAAAATACCCGAAAGTGTAGGACACTCGAATTCGATGACGTCTAGAATGTGTTGTCCATGTCAGCATACATGTTCCAAACCACTTGCATCCATGTTAGATTGGTCTTTACTATTTTTGTTGTGTCAGTAAAATGATGTATGATCAGTCACCAAAATCATGTCTCATATTTGTCAGACCTAAAATACCCGAGAGTGTAGGACACTCGAATTCGATGACGAGTAGGAACGGGACGTGATGTTTTGGGAAAACTTTATTGGGAATCACCCACCTCGCACCTCCCACTGGCAAGCAGAGATGAAGACATTGTAGCTTTAATTTTAAGAAAGGTGAGTTTGGTGACCACTAGTGCAGCTAAGATCATGTTGGATTTTGGGTCAGACACTTGGTCCCTTTTTTGGCTCACTTTCATCGCCCAACGCAACGCTACTATGCCCATTTTCTTCCCTTTATCCCAAATTTGTTGTGGCGCTTGTGTATTTCAAGGATCTTTTTTTCTCCTCACACTTGGCATCCAATCAATTCTCACTGTCGGCCACCACTCCATTCTTTTATCCATAACCCTAAACACACCAACAACAACAAGACCGCTCTCCCGTATCAACATATGCATGTACGAGATCCCACATCAGTTAGAGATGGAAACGAAACATTCCTTATAAAAGTGTGGAAATTTCTCACTAGCAGACGCGTTTTTAAAAATTTTGAGAAGAAGCCCGTAAGAAAAAACCCAAAAAGGACAATATCAGTGGGTTTAGGATGTTAAAGGGTGGATTGTGAGATCCCACGTCGATTGGCTAAACCCTAAACCCATATCGATCAGGAAAGGGAACGAAACATTCCTCATAAGGGTGTGGAAACCTCCTACAATCGCGTTTTATAAACCGTGAGAATAAGCCTGAAAGAAAAAGTACAAAAAGAAATTTAAAAACTTTGAGAAGAAGCCCATAAGAAAAAACCCAAAGAGGACAATATCAGTGGGTTTGGGATGTTAAAGCATGAGGTGTATTATGAGATCTCACGTCAATTGGCTTAACCCTAAACCCTAAATCTTAAACCCTAAACCCTAAATCTTAAACCCTAAACCCTAAACCTACGTCGATTGGGGAAGGGAACGAAACATTCATCATAAGGGTGTGGAAACCTCCTGCAATCGCGTTTTATAAACTCGAACGAAAAAGTATAAAGAGAACAATATCTACCAGAGGTGGATTTGAAAAGTTAGATTGTGGCTAGGCTTTTGAGTGAGGAGGGCAAATATTTATTTATCTATGTATTTCCACGTGGAATATCGGTATTCGTAGGTAGTAGCTAAGAATATCCACGTGGCAATGAGTGTGAAAAAAAGGCCGAAACTCACCCAGCAATCATGGTGGGGTCGGCTAAAAGGAGGTGGACCACCGCAACAGGGCCATTACCAATAATAACAATACCCTATCCCTTAGCCCAGTCCAGATATTCCCGTAAAATGGCTTGTACACGTGGCAAAACATCATTCGTAAAAATACCGTTTATTTATTCGAGAATTCCAAAATAAAAAATATATTCTTGGTTTCATTCCATCTTTGTTTCTGCGTTATGTAACGTCCAATCAATGCAATAATGGAAAGCATAGGGCTTATGATGGAAATGGGAATAATCACAAAAATATAAAAATAAATTCCTCATCCCACACCCTTTTTCTTTTCTTTTTTTAATTTCCACCCTGGAAAAGTTTCGCTGACGTCCCTCAACTTTTCTTTTCTTTTTTTAATTTTATATATATATATATATACACACACGACCATACCTTTCATATTTTAAATAATATTCCATGTCATCACTTCTATCGAAATTAAAATAATAATAATATATTATAGTATAATGAAAATGTCAGACCTATTTTGACTGACCAGGAAACACTTAACCGACCGTCTTTTTAGCTTTTGCTTTTGTATTACTTTTGTATTAAGGACATAAAATTGTATATAATATAATTTAAACATCATTAGTCAACAGAATTATAATATTAATCCATTCGTTAATTTTTTAATTCCTATGTTAATAGAGTGATTAAGTAAAGTAATGGTAGATGATTAGTGATTAGGATAATGATAGTGCAATCCACGTGCGCCCGTAGCAGCAAAGCCACACGCTTGCACTTTTTTCTTTAAAAAAAAAAATTTGCATATATTCTTGCTATACCCATTTGGGCTATCGAATAATTTATTTTTGAAAAATAAATAATTATAATAAGAATTTTGAATTCGTTTGGTTGCTTTATAAACGATTCAGCGGTGTCTGGAAGTCCTATCCTCCATTTGGATTATAGGCTGTAATTAACAAAATATTATTGTTAAATTAATTAGAGCTTTACCTTTTAATTTAAATTTAATGAATTGTAATTATTATTACTTTGTAAGCAAGTATTAATTAAATAAATTGAATTACTTAATATTTGGTTTGGAAATAAATAAATAAATAAATAAAATAAAATAAAATAATGTTGTAGAGACCGTAGAATAGAGGACAGTGGATATTGTTTGTTGTGTCCGGTCTGCCACAACGTCTCTCTCTCCCTCGAATTGCGCCAAACCCCTCAACCACATTTTATATTAAAATAATTTAAATATTTTAATATTTTAAAATTTATTTTAAATTCCTTTTAATTTTTTAATTAATATCCTCCGTCTACTTTAAAAAGTTTAAAAATACTTTTAAAGTTACTAATATATTTAAAAAAATAATTTTTATCATCCATATATAATAAAATATGATTATTTTATAAATTATCTCTAAATTTTTAAATATTATTTTTAAAGTTATATATAAACCACGAATTATTTAATTAAATTCGAAGTTTAGGGTTTATAATTTCAAAGTAGCTAATTATCGGTTTTTCTTTTTCTTTTTTTAGTTTTTTTTTTAATTTATATATTTTTTTCAAGAAAAATATTGCCATAAATTTTATGCTAAAAGACAAAGGGTAGATTG